CTTTTGAATATGGCTCGCACAGTTACGATCATGATAGTAATCCTAACAATATAACAAATCAGAATCATAAGGGCCCAACCTGTTTGCCAGGGTTGGAGACGGCACCAAGAGCTCCACAGATCTAACGTGCAGATGCTCACACCGAAAGCATGAGTCAGAGCCCACATCCAGCTGCATTTTCCGGATGAGGAACCCGAGGTGTGGAGAAGCGAGACCACGTGCCGAGAGGCACAGTGTTGCCGATCTGGCATTCAAAACCGGGTCTGCTTGACCAGCCCGAGTTAAGTCTTAAGCTGTCTCTCACATTACAGGATCATGGGCTTAACTCAAAGCCCCTCCATGGCCCAGGAAAATTCATTTTCAGATTCCTCTCTAGTTTTTCCTGCAGCTATTCATGGACCAAATGTCCCAAGTCATTTTTCTGTGCTAGGCAATGGCCAATAAATGGGGAACAAGACACAGTCCCTGCTTCGTGGAACTGAAAAGACCCTGTAAGAGGAGAGAGATGGACCTTTAAAAAGAGATTAAGAGGGACCGAACCAAAGCTAATACCGGGGTGCCTGGAGGTCCCATAGGAGGGTTAGCTCTTCTAGTCTAGGATTCAGGGAAGGCATCCTGAAGGAAGTAGCATCTAGGCTGTGACAAAAAGAATAAACCAGAATTTAGCAAGAGACATTAGATTTAGAGGAAGGGGCGTTCTGGGCATAGGGAAGAGCATTTGCCCAAATGTGAGACAAAATCAGACACTTTCAGGGAAATGCAAGATCAGACCAGGTGAGCGGTCAGCCCCAGAGTTCAGCTTTTCCCAGCCCACCTTTGCCGAGCGGGGTCTGACCGTGGACTGGCTCTTTGACAAGAGGTGGCCCTGGGAAAGTCAGAACACCTGGCGATGGTAATTATGGCACCTGGGGAGTTGCCATGGCCCCCTGAAACTCCCACAGTGCTCAGAAGCCAGCTGATGTCCCACGGCAGGAAATCATTCCTCATCGAAACCTTTCTAAAGATGCTTCTCCAGCGAAGGAGGTAACTGTCCCAGCCCCTAAGTGTGGAGCCTGGGACCCTGAGTTGACATGAGGAAGTCAGGTGTGCCCCATAGGAAGCAGGCAAGCTGGTACAGTATTCCATATCTAGCGTAGTCTTCTACCGGGAGGGCAAACCGTTTATATGTATAAAATATCGCGTCTATAGAAGCCAAGTTTGGGCTGCGGGCTCCAACCTGCCTCGGTTCAAGCCCAGCTCTATTACTCACTTGCTGATGTACTCGGGGCCAGTCACCATGCTCTCTGTGCCCAGGTTTCCAGGTCTCTATGCGGGTGGTAAGGGTACCCAGCTTCTGTGGTGTTGGGGCTATCAGGCCTATTAGCTGAGACAAGGCACGGAAGGTTTTTATGGCCACTCCCGGCATGGGGCAGCCAGTCACCGAGGGTGCCTATGACTATTTTGAGCTTGGTCTCCTCCAAATCTGAGTGACAAGTAGCTCACAAAGCTCGACGCCTTTAAATCTGGGTATAAAACTAAGGGAGTGAATCAGTTGTGGTGGGAGCTGAGGTGGAGGGAAAGAGTTAGGACACAGACAAGGGCCAACCATTCTGGGAGCAGGACTCAGGGAATAAAACACATTATGATACCTGGCAGTTCTCTCTCTCCCCCTCCTTCTTTTTAACTTCTTATTTGGGAGGAATCTTCCACCTATAGAAAAGTAAATATATCCATCAGAGTCATAGAATCTTAACATTTTTGCCTCATTCACCTTTTCCCTTCTCTCTCTCCACGCACGCACATGCACACACGTGTGCATATGCACACATGCGTGCACATGTGCTTCTGAACCACATGAAGAAGGTGGGTGTCATGGCCTTGTACCTTTGCACACTTGACCGAGTGTTTTTCAGAGTTGAAGGTGCTCTGTCGCGTTATCAGAACAGAGGCACCACCACCATGCAGTTGAGATGGCACAACAGGTCTATCTAATCTCCCATCCACATTCCACGGCGGCCAGGTGGCCGGAGCAGCCGGCCCTTCCCAGCACCTCCTCCCCAGCACGATTCCCAGTTCACTGTCTGGTTTTGCATATACTTGCCTGTCTTTTGGTCTCTTTTTTTTTTTTTTTAAACAGGAACATTTTCATTTTTTCTCCTGTTGGCGCCAGACTCTCTTTCTGGAGGAAAGCAAAAACAAAAGAAGGCGTCAGTTGGGCTTGGGTTTGAATCCTAATTTTATCACTCAGCAGCCCAGGTGGGGGAGGCTGGGAGGAGGGGCAGCTGCTTTACTTGTCTGGAGCTCCTTTGCTGGACAAAAATAGGGCCAATTTACGGAGAGAATTCCACAAAACCACATGCAACCCTCAGGCAACTGACAAGGAGCCTAGTAAGGGAATTGCACATTCGGTTAATGGAACTAACATGTCACTAGTGGTACATTAGTGATTAATGTCGTCCAATGTAATTAGCTCTGGCCCAGTCACCTCCTTGCTGTGTGATATTGAGGAAGTTGCTCTGCCTCTCAGAGATCCAGTGTCCTGGGCTGCAGCAATGAGGCTTTGACTAACTTCCTCCTGGGACTGAAACATCCAGTTTGAGGCCATGCACAGAGGGGTTCAGTTGCCACCCATTCCCTTTGCCCCCGGGGAATGCCGACTGGCCTCCGTTGGCAACAAAGCCCTCCTGCCTCCATTTCCCCCATCAGAACCCATCTCTTGCGGAATTTTCAAAGGGCAGGCAGAGACTTTGTGGGGTGAACTCCAGGGACACAGCTCTCAGAGCAGCTGCAAGCCTGTGGAAGCCCTGAACCCCCAAAGGTGACCGCTGTTTGCTGGAGGAGCTGGGGAATCTTCCCTCCCCCTGGGGATTTTCCACAAGGTGTATTTTGGAAAAACCTTTTCTCTGTTGGTCAAACAAACGGCCATTGTGGGTGTGGCAGGAGGTTGGGGCACAGGGGGGTAGGAGGGTGGCCCTGGAAGAGTGACTGTGACTCATTTTTGATGCAAAGTAGAGTCTGGAGGTCTTCGTGACTTCCTCGGAAACTCAAATGCAGCGACCACCCAAACCAGGGCTCTCTGGCGCTGCCCAAGTGACTGGGTCCTCCCAGGGCTGGCTCCTGCCCAGTGGACAGGCTTCCAGAAGCTTTCTCTGGCCTCTGCTTCTAATGTCCACCCCCCTCGATATTCCTGCTTTATTGCCTTCTTAACACCTGGCACTGTCTGAAAGCTGGTCTGATGTACCTGTTTGCCCACTAGGACATAAGTGCTGGTTATCAGGGGTCCTGACTGTAACTCTCTGTCCATCTGTAGCCCATGGCACAGGGGTCACCATTTCCCAGGTCACGGATATTTGTTGCCTGAAGAATTGAGTCCTCTCCCAGTCTGGCTTTCCTGTGAGGATGGGGCCCAGGGAGGGCGAACTGACTGAGCCCACCACGCCTTGGGCCCCGTCATGATTTGGGGGCACCAATAGGAGCTCCAGAGAGGATCAGTGATGGATCAGCTGGTTAGGACTGAGTCAGGAGGATTGTGACATTTGACCCCTGGGAGCAGAAATGAAATTTCCTCTCTTCCTTCTTCAATGAAAGTCAGTTGTCATGACCCCTCTAGCCCACGCTGGGGATGAGAAAATCCTGGGGACTTCCAAAGAGCTCCTCTCTCAACCTTCTTCCCAAACACGAGTCACGTTCCTTGTCCTAATGAGCTTTGGTTGAAAAAAGGTAGGAACCTGTGGTTGTGAAACGAAGTCACTGATTTGGCTGCTGAGACTCTTGAAAATCAGCCCACGTATGGCCCTGACGTGCAGGGGTCTTGGAAAGGCACCGCCGCACCCCGCCGGGCCTGCAGTCAGGACCTGGGGACCGAACCCCAGGCAAGCGACATGCTCTCTGGGTGACTCAGGCAGTGCTTTCTCCTCTCTCGTGTGCCGGGGACTCCGCCTGTGAGTCGGAACCACGGGGCCCTCCTCACCAGTGAGAACGGAGTGACCTACCCACGTCAGGGCCCCACGCACAGGCTTTCCTGATGGGGGTCGGGCAGGTTAGCGGGGAGTTCAGGTTCAAGGGCACTGTGGTCGGAAAGACCTGGATTTTCTCTCTGCTCTCCCTCTCACAAGCAGGTGGACGTGGAGAAAGAGCAGTCAAGTCTCTGTTTTCTCACCTGTAAAATCGCTATTTCCTAGAGCTGCCGGGACAATCAGCTGGCATATGTATTTCCCACACAAAATACAATTCAGGTAACTGTGTCTGTTTCAAGCCTCACGAAGTTAGATCCTTCTCAGGCAGAAACAAAACCGTCGCCGTGATCAAGTCAAACGTGCCATCCAAACCCCAAACTAAAATCGCGGTTCCGCGATTATTCCGCCCCATCCATGAAAACGACGGGTCTCTTCGTTGCCGGGATCCTGCGCAACACAAGAGGTGATGGACCACCCTTCGCCACGCAGGGCTGTGGGGGCTGACGCCGCAGTGATGGAGAAAAGATGGACACCACCGTCCCCTCGTTTCCTCTGCCGCCTTGCCTCTTCGCAGTGTCCCTTTGCCCAGATCAACACGCCTCACCCACTGGCTCACTCTGGCCCACACCTGCCTTTAGGAGGAGAGCTGGCATCGCCTCGGACACCTGGTGCCGCTGAGGGCCTGTCCTTCCGAATAAATCGATGCTGTGTGGTTTGTTTGAGGACAGAGGTAGGTGGCCTGTGGCTCACAGAGGCCGGAAGTGACCTTCTCTAGCTCGACTCCACGGGTTTGTTTGCGAGAACACAGACACACCAGTGGCCGCTGACACTGTGTGTTCCGGCCTCGTATGCAGGACATATTTTGCTCAGAAACATACCCTGTTGGTTGTTGAAACCTCTTTTGCATTCTCTGAAACAGATGGCTGCCGTGTGTTTTCTTTTAGCGGGGTGCAGTAAATAAAAGTCTTGTATGTTGACAATGATAATATTATATTCCGCAATCTATTTGCATTTCTCTCTTTTGTGGATCTGATTGCCCGGTATAAATCCCCAGGCTGAGGTGAATGAAGCCTCACTTGGGGAGAAGCAGTGCGTTTTATCACAGGGCTGGATAGCACAAGTTGTGCTGGGGAGGTGCACAGAAATACACATGTGTGCGTGTGGGTTTTGGCATGTGCACACCAGGCCTGGGAGAATTTTCTATGGCTTCGCAGACTGGATTTCCAAGCGGGAGCCGGCATGAGCACATACCTCTTCCATTTGCTACCCACGGCCCCAGCTGGCCAGTGAGGTTCAGAGAAACTCGCTCTGCAGCTGCCTCAGCTCTGCCCGAAGCTCTGTGGCCCGGATGGTGGGCAGAGAACTGAACCGGGACAGAAAGGCATCTCAGAGCCGTGCAGAGGAGCTCAGCCTCTCACCGCCTTCCTGGGGGTCTTCCGAATACTTCTGAGCCTAGGAGCATCTTCTCCAACAGGCAAGTCAGTAGGTTTCCCAGAGGAATGAGGACACAAGCCTCGGCCAGGCTTACCATTGAGCATCTGTCCACAAAGCGCTGACTCTGCGCCATGAGCCGCGCTAGGCACTCTCTCACTGAGTCCTCACAACAGCCCTACGAGGTAGGTGCCGCTATTATCCCCATTGTACAGAGGGGAGACTGAGGCCCTGAGGTCCACAGCTGGTAATCTGTAGAGTGGGAATTCAACCCCTGGGCGGTCTGGTCCCAGCTGTAGGTATTTGTGGAAGGAGGACACAGGGCGTCGCGTTTGCCCTGAGAAGCCATCCGCAGCATTTACGAAATCACTCCTACGCCAGGAATGAAAATACCAAGAAAGAATGGATGAATGGTTATTCGGGTGGTAACTACCTCTGTTTGGTGGTCTTGCCTATGAAAATTTCCCTAACGTCTTTCTGTTGCAGTCAAGGCTGTCTTCTTGTCCTCTTGTCTAGTGAGGGTCCCCAGGTGTCCAAGTCTCCCAGGCAGCCTTTGTGAGCGGGTTTGCCTGTAAGTCGCTGGCTCTGATAAAAGGGTTGGTGGAGGGTTTTCCATCCCAAATCCTCTGGGAAAGTGCAGAATCCCTGCTATGGGAGGGACACCTGACTCTAGCCCCAGCTGGGGAGCTCAGTTGGTTAGAGCGCTGACCCGCCAAGGTTGTGGGTCCGATCCCCGAGTCAGGGCACATATAAGACTCAACCAATGAATGTCCAAATAAGTGGAAGAGCAGATTGGGGTTTCTCTCTCTAAATGAATAAAAAATTTTTTAAGAACATCTGAGTCATTAGACTGGGTAGGTTAAGCAAATGGGTCTTGTAAATATTCAACTTCTAATGGGAAAGTTCTGTGGCTTGGATCATCCAAATCATAAAGTGCTTATTTAATTGTATTTCAAGCCCATGTATCTTTTTTTTTTTTTTTTGAGTCTACCAAAGATTCACTCAGTCAGAATGGGTAGATGGAAGAGAATTAATACACGATTTCCTTAACCTGGCCTGGGCCTCATTTAAATGCCTGTTTTCAAATGGAGCCTTTAAGTAGGCCATTTGTGAGGGAAATTGCCCTTGTATTTTCAAGGTAATTGAATCCCATTTTTCACTTTCCATTTCCCCCTAGAAAAATCAAAATGTTCATGGAATGTAGCTTCTCCGTGGAGGGTTTTCTAAGGTGGGAACTTCAATATCATCAAAGAGACCGGTGTGTGGCCGTGACATTCAGGACTGGGCTGTGAGGTCTGTTTTCTGCACATGAACTGACCGCACTAACCAGCCCCGGAAAGTAAGTTGATTTCACTGGAAACATCAAAGGAATGTCCACACCTTGTCCTGGTCCCAGGGCCTGGGGGTGAAGAAAGCTAGAATTCTGGTCAGAAGGTTTTCACCCATGGAGTGGCTAAGGGCCCAGTCCGGGGCCATGTGCTACATTGCCTTGGATCAGGGTCTCCCAGAGGGACTGACGAATGAGAGTCGGTGGCACTTGGGTGGGACTTTAAACAACACTGAACTGCATGGTGATAAAACGAGTCTCTTTCCAACTGCATTTCAATCCTGATTATATCAAGGACGAAGTCCCACTTTGATGCTCAGTCTTTAATCTTCTTCTTCTTCTCCCCCTCCCTCCCTCTCTATTTTTAATAAACCCAGACTAGGACTTTAGAAGCTTATGGTTTCCAGTTTGCATTTAATAACATTGCTTTATTTTTTATTGTGTTGTTTTTATGATGATATTTGATTGCTTGCAGTTTTAAGGGAAAGGATGTGAAGTTTCATTTTAAGGCAAAAGGGTTTACGGTTTTTTACTTTTTACTGTTAAATACGTGGCTGCATCTGACTGTGTGTCCACCTGTACCCGCATGTCATGTGGACCCTCTCATCTGGGGTGACCTCGTCCAAGTGGCGCTGCGGGAAATGGGAGGAGGTGGGTTCCCCCGAACTCACAGAGGGGCTCTCCATTGTGCCCACTGCCCTCACCAGCTGTGCCTTGGCCCCAGGGCACCTCGGTGTTCTCATCCCCAAAGCCGGTATTATGAGCAGCAGGAGGAAAAGGGGTGACAGGGTGGGCCCTGTGCTGGATTGTCACCCACGAGGTTGGCCAGCATAGATGCTGGCCCCTGGAATGAGCCTGGGAAGGAGCAGACTCCCTCCCTCATAGGTTGGCTGTGTGCTGTTTCCTTCCTGCTGAGGCACCGAGCTTGCTGCTGCGGCATGGGGTGCGGGGGGTGCTAGAAGCTGACATGCAAGCTGGTGAAGAAATGCACTCCCGAGGCCAGGAAATCAAGCAAATGCATTTGGCCGAGATGGCCCAGCCGCATGAAGGTCAAAGTCTTAGGCTCAGACAAGCTTTTCCTCTTCTTGGGCTGCAGATCTTTGGCAGCGGAAGGCAGGCTCTGAATTAAGCTTAATTAAAATTCACTCTTAATTGGGGCCATTACTTCAAATCAACTCTACGTTATGAAGCTGTGTAATCATAATTAAGCCCCAGAAATAGAATTAGGAAGCGCGGAACGAGAAAGCCAAACACGGACGGGCCCAGTGCCGGGGGCGACAGTGATGGGACTTCTGAAATCACCGCCATTTTCAGGTGGTCAAGGACTGATGAGTGGGTGGGTGGAGGAGCCTCGGCGGCCTGACCATCAGGACGATGCAGTCATCAGAGGGAAGACTGGGATAAGGGAACCCTCAGAGGCAGAGCTTGAGGGGCCCCAGGCAGAAGGGCGCCAGCTGGGGAGGAGAACAAGGCCCTCTCCGGGGGCTGTGCCCCTCACTTGCAGGTGACGAGGACAAGCCTGCTCCCCAGAAACTGTGTCCCCAGCTGCGCCATCGGGGTGGAGAGCAGCTCTTCAGGGTGAAGAGAGACGCCAAGCAAGGGCATCTCTCTTCAAGTTCGTGCCAGGGTCCGCGCCTCTGCTGGAGCGGACACGTGGCATTTAGTTGCGGAGCTGCCGGCAGCACCGCTGGGGTGGCGGATTACTTATTACCTAAAGACAAGTCAGTGGTGAGGTGGCATGGGACAGTGATGCACTTTTGCCCTGCTAAGCAGGCGGAGGCTGGGAGCGTGGGTTTTGGAGTGAGGTGATGGGAGCACGAACTCCGGACGTAGCAGTGACTCTGGGGCAGCAGTGAGTTTCTCCGTCTGCAGGGCGGGAATTATAAGGATGGGTGTCTGAGAGGCTGTTCTGACAATGACACAGCCAAAGCACTTACAACGCAGCTGACGGTGTAGAGAACTTGCTATGTTTCTGCAGTCCTCTGTTCTTCATGCACAGTGCAAATGTATTGTGACAAGCACCCTCTGAATAAGTATTATTTCTTCTGGCTTAAGGATAGGGAGTTGAAAGCTCAGAGAGGTGAAGTGACTTGCCCAAGGTCACACAGCAAGTCAGCGGCAACTAGTAAGAAAGGCATACGTGATAATTGTCATTGTAAAGGCAGCGTATGTCTGCCTATGTGCTTGATCGTCTGGTCAGGGTGAGTCAGACCTACAGACAACACCTGCCCAGAAGTTATACATCGGTCGCAAGGGGTGTCACTCGCCCATGCTTGTCCCGAGATCCCAAGCCTCTCAGCATGGCCAGACTAGGCCAGGCATTTGGGTCCTTAACATGGCCAGACTCTAACATGGCCAGACTCTAACATGGCCAGACTAGGCCAGGCATTTGGGTCCCGAGAGGACGGAGCTGTTGGGTGCTGGTTCCACACCTGTGGAGTCAGAGGGGAGAGGGTGGACAAGAGGCAGTGCCCCCACCATACCTGTTTGGGGACTTCGTGCGTCAGTTTTTCTTGCTCCGGAGACCTTGGGAATCATGCTCAGGAGCGATGAGGGGCTGGCCAGGCACCTGCAGGGGAAAAGCAGCGTCTGTCCCACCCCCGCAGAGCCCCCCGACGTGCAGAGCACACCTCTGTCCTCTTATGCAACCTTTGCGAGCGCCAGTTGTGCGCCTGGAGCAGAGCTGGCCCCACTCACATGTTCCCTCACTGACTGTGCATCGAAGGCCCCGCAAGTCAGGAACAATCACCCGCACTCTGCAAACGAGGAGACTGAGACTCCCAGAAGTGAGGCTCCTGGCTCACGGGCCAGTGTGAAATACACTCTTTGACCCACAGATTGGGCGTTTCATTCATTGCCCCAAACCCCAGTCTGTCTCCGAGATGCTGCCCGGCCGGAGCGCCTTCCAGGCCTCTCTCCCTGCTCACAGCCAGGTCAGGAGGCAGCTCTCTACCCCCAGGTTTAGCACCGAATAGGCCTTTGGTGCCAGGAGGGTCCTGCAGCTCCTGTTTCCTAAACAGCCTCAGGGCCATGCGGTGAGTCTCCTCAGTGCATTCATTCTGCTTGCATGACTCCAGTGATGGAGGCATCACTACTTACTGAGTTAAATCCTTCACTCTTGAATGGCAGTGTAGAGCAGGAGGGAAATTTGACCCGGTCCTGGTGTTCATGAAGGCCTTCCTGTTCGGACTTTGGATTTCATCTCTACATGAGTTCTATATGTAGTCACTATGTGGAAGTATTCATCTGTTAAATGCAACTGACTCAATCATATCACTTTTTGGGGGGTGAACTTATGCTACTATCTTCTCATGTTTTTCAATGTACCAGGAACCTGAGCTGGAAAAGAAAACATGAATTGCTAGGGCGACTCTCCACGTCCAGGAGGCCCCGAGAATTAGCAAGGACGCCCCTTGTTGGGCCCTAACCTGTGTGTTTTCAATGTCTCTGCTCCCTGGGGAGAGCCCGGAGAGCCCTGGTTGCGTCGGGGTCTCTCCTGCCCCTGAAGCGGTGCAGCATTTGGAGGGAGGTCTTGCTCCGAGGAGGAAATGTTCAAGTTTACTGCCCAGTACCAACTTCCGACAGCCGAGAGCCCTGCTGTTCTTGACAGGAGGGTAAATTCGGGGAAGGGGTGGGAGGCTGGGGGTCAATTCCAGTCGTCCAGGTGCAATGCCAGGCTGCCCCAAGCCTCAGCTCGGGCGGCACCCTTCCCACGGTGTTCTGCGTAAAGGCCCCCCGTGGGGCTGTGCCCCAGAGAGCACCCCAGGGTGAGCTAACACCACCTCAGGGGACTGAACCCCGAATTGCAAAGACGTTCACAGACACTGGATTATGAGGAGGCCATCATCCCTCCCCCATCTGTGACCTCTTTGTCCTTGATCTCATGAGCACTGGCCTCTATTTACACTAAATAGACGCAGCACCATTTATTGGCTGCTGTGTTTGGGGCCAGCCCAGCCAGGGGGCCCCCGAAGCCGGTCCCAGCAGGTAGCCAGCCCAGGGAAGGTCACGAGGAAGGTCCTCCTGCTCTTCCACCAAAGTTTAGCAAACACCTTATCTCCCGCCAAGTAGGTGAGGTAATGTTTATGAAAAATCTCTCTGTCCCCTTGTTCTGGGCGGGGCTACTGTGACCAACTACCCAAGGTGGACTCCCCTCAGCCACCTCGTGTCCCCCCTGGAAGACCCTGGCTCAAGTCCACTCACCCACTGAAGCTCAGGTCCATGTCGCCTCCTCAGAGAAGGCTCTTCCACTGTCCTGGCACCTCCCCGCCCTTACCACAGCCTCTCCTGACAATTATTTTGCATTTATTTGTGGGAATCACATGGTAAATATCTGTATTCCCCACCAGACAGAGAGGATCCCGAGAGCAAGCACAGTGTCTTTTTAGAAAGAATTTTTAAAAAATTCTGCTGCAGCATAATTTTGATACAATAAGCACAGCAATCTTACACATGCATTTCATGGAGTGTTGACACATTTACACCAGAATTGTTCCATTTGTGGAACCGCCACCACGATCGAGATAGAGAACATTTCCTTCACCCCCAAACCTGCCCTGGGCCCCGTCCAGTCAGTGTGCCGAGCCCAGGGCGTGGCTGCTCTGCTTCCTGCCTCCCAAGGGCACCGAGAATTATCCCTGTTGCGGTGTGAATCAGGGCCTTGAGCCTGCTTGTTGCTGAATTTTATTCTCAAATGGGTCTGAGGGAGTCTCCTTGGGTAGGCCATCAGCATCATGGGGACAGGGGCACATTCTCTGACACCTCTGATACTTGATGTGACTCAAGGCACGTACATGACCCTTGGGAATGGCACGGCCCATCCTCCCTGCCCCAGAGCCGGTCAGTGGCCACTCCGCACCCACATTTGCAGTCTGGATTAACTGCCTGCGTGAGCCGGGATAGCCTCTCTGGGTCTTCAGTTTCTTTACCTTTCAGATGAGGGGCTGACCCAGAGTTCTCTGTGGCGCCTCTGCCTCAGGTCCCCTTGGGTTCTAAGGTGCTCGAACACGGGGAAAAGGAACCACCTGATTGTCCAGCGTTAGAAATATTCATGTGAGGTGTAGATCTATCTATCTATACCTAGATACAGGTTTTAGAGGAAAATGGGCCTCTCCGGACATTTTCTAATTGGGAAAAGGATTCGACTCGAGTTCTCAGGACAAGCCAGTGTTTCTGCGTCACTCGTCTGAAATCTGAAGCTCTTTCCCAGCCCATCGTGAGAACCCTCGTGTTCCTCCCTCCCAGGCATGCCGGCTGGCGCTGTGAAGAGTGTGTCAGGAAATGGGCTGACCTGAACCCCCCTGTCTCCAGCCCGCCGAGTCCAGAGCACAGGAGAGCAGGGTTCTGGGACCCAGGTGGCAGAGCTGGCTTCATAACTGCCCTTAAAACAGCACAACACCGTGTCTCTTTCCTGGGACCGCTGGCAGACTCAAGGACAAAGTTCAGAACAGCCATTGTGCTCTGGACCCTCAGAGACCCTTCCTTCTCCATCGAGACCCGAAGGCTTCAAAGCAGCAGTTTTCATTGCAAGAGCAAAAACTTTGCTCTCGACGCTTCGGCCCCAAACATGCTTCGTTTTGAAAAACCGTGACTAGCTATTATTTCATCTTTGTTCAGTGATTCACACATTATTTTCCCCATTCGATCTCGGGAAAACTTCGGGTCAGCAGGGGACAATCAGCGTGTTGACCGTGATTGGGGAACTGCCACCTGTCAGGGGTCGTGCTGACAACCCTTGGAGGTCACTACTTTTATTTTCCTCAGGTCACAAGTGCAGGGACCAGTGTTTGGGAAGGCCTTTGGGCTGGGAAGAGGCAGGGCTGGGGAACGTGAGCCCCTTGAGCTGGGCGGGGAAGGACCTTCCATTGTTCTACACAACTCACCGAGAGTGGAAGAGCCTCCTCCATCCGGACGTCTTCCGGGGTTTATTTAGGTGGCTGAGGAGCTGTGGGGGATGAAGGTAAGATGCAGGAAGACCCCCGGCCATCCTGAGAAGTCCAAACTGGGGCTCACGGGACTCCTCAGCACTGCACATGGTGCCACCCACCTGGACACAGGCTTCCCACGGCTGGGCAGGCTGGGACAAATGGCCCGTGAGGCCAGGCAGTAGGGTGGTCAGCACAGGGGTGTGCAAACTGCAGTCGGGGATGCAGACCCAGATTCTTCCATCCAATAGCTCTGTGACCTTGAGCAAGGTTTCTGTCTCTTCAAGACTTGGTTCTGTCCCCCGTAAAATGGATCAGTATAGCCTACCTCACTGTTACTTCAGGTGATTTGGCAAGAGAAGGCGTTACCTGATGCCTGGAAGATAGTAGGTGCTTAACAATGGAGAGTTACCATTCTTGCTACCTGGCAGGTGATGCTCCAAGGATCTGCTTTGGTCATGAACTTGAATTACTCCATTTCTGTCTCATCCAGAGTCTGGGGCACCGGGCACCTGGTCAGCTCCCGGTCCAGAGCGACCCTTTGTGGGTCATCGCCCCCCACTTCACAATCTGGGAGAAGCGTGCCTCCTCCATCCAGGACAACGGCGCCAGAGCGTTGACTTGGAGAAGCCGACAAGCCCACCGATTCAAGGCAACAGAGAATGAAGAAAGGATGGAGGAGAAGGGTGGAAAGAGCTACGAGAGAGAGATGCAGGGGTGATACCGGGGGGCAGGACATTGTGGCAGGTGAGGGACATGGGGTCTGGAAGCCTGGCTCAATCCTTCACCATGTACACCTTCGGGCAAATGGCTAACTCTCTTTGTGCCTCAGTTTCCTCGTTTGTAAAACAGAGATACTAATGGTGCCTTCTCAGAAGTTGGCTTTTAGAGAAGATAAAATGAGGTATCCTATGTGAAGCCCAGTGCCTGGCTGACAGTTGGTGCTCAATACAGTAATTATGTCCCGGTCTACTCGTCACTGTACTCTCTCAAAGGCCCATTTTGCAGACAGGGAGGTCAGGGGCAAGGGGGAGCATAGCCACCCCGATGTGTAGATTTTCTCATTTGCACCCAGTTGTCACCTGGCTGGGCTGACACCTGGCCTGGTGACCTTCCTCACTGCTGGGACTGTCTGTCCCACACTGAGGCTTCTCCCACCCTCTCCAAAGCTGGGACAGGGTTCGGGAGCAAAGGCCGCAGGGCCCAGCCTATAGAGGCCAGCAGGGGTCTTGGAAAACCCAGCTGGTGCCAAGGCTGGGCTGAGCTGGCAGCCGGTTTGGGGGGCGCACAAGAGGCCATCGGGGACCCTGGGGCCCAGGCTGACCCACTGAGGCCAGTCTGCCTGCCCTGGGAGCTGGGGTTGGGGCTGCCACTCCAAGAGAGGGGGAGGCATGGGGATGGTTGGCTCCCTCCTGCAGTCCCCTCTCCCGAGCCAAGCATTTCTGGTCCCTGTCCCTGTGCCATGAGAGGTTAAATGGGGCACCATCCCAATCCTGCAGGCGGCGGGGCCAGGAGTGCGGGTGGTTGGGGGCGCGTCATGCTGGAGATGATCAGAAAGAGCCACCGGGGATGGCCCAGAGCCCAGGATGTGTCTCGGGACTGCACTTGGACCCTCCAGCCTCTGCAGAACTTGCCCACCTCCAATGTGGAGTCCTAGGGTCCCGTAAGGACCAGACTCCCGGGCCTGCCCCAGGCCTCCACATCAGAAGGTCTGTGGTTTTGGCCAGCGAGCCAGGGGATCTTGGGGCAGATTCAAATCTGACTGCCTTTGCTGAGGCAGACTCATGTCTTTACTGGACTGAGGTTCAGAGAGGTCAAGAGGTGGGCCCAAGGGCACACAGCAGTCAGCACCCAAGGCAGCATCAGGACGCACGACTGTGTGGTGCCCAACAGGAACGCTTTTCCTCCCCAGGGAACCGGGCAGAGGCTGTGCCTGGCCCATGGCCCTGGAGCTGGCACGGTCTAGGCCCTGCGGAGGGCGCCTGCCTTGCACCCTGCACCGCAGGGCTGGGCGTATATCAAACACTGGAACATTTAGACTCATTAACACACATTTGATGATACCGGAGAGCTGAGCCTTCCGCTCTGTCCTCCACCCAGGCCTCTGCCAGAGATGGCATCATCGCCTGATAAACCCGAGTCCATGCGGGCTCTGGGCTCAAACCCTGGGCATGTTGGCAGGAAAGGGGCCGGGAGCAGCAGGAGAGGCATCGGAGCCTAACCCTCTCTGGCGGTCTGTCTTCAGACACCCCAGCCTGCCGAAGCGGGGCTTTCCAGCTCTGCTTCCTTTGGCCCTTGATGGTCAGCCTCTGTTTCCCTGTTTGAAACACCGGGGTTTGCAACAATGCTGCGTGATTCTGGGGCAGAAGTCAGCTCCGGGGGCTTGCACGTGCGGTTGACATCATCCCTGCACGCTATCCTGCTCTGGGATCAGCGTGGGGTGATCCTCTGATAACGCCGTCTCTCTACCCCACTAGTAGTCAAATGATATTCAAATATCCCCATGAGGGCTCGGTAAACATCCGATTACTCAGATGGGCTCTTCTCGTTGGTCTCATGGCCCTAGTCCATCTCTAATCTCCAGGTCTCAGTTGCTTCACTATTCAAATGACTCGAAGCCAGAATTTTCTCTCCAGGCTCCATGGCCCAGAACTTGCAGAAGAATCCCCCTTCGGGCTGCTGACTGAGAAATGCCTGCTGCACACTCCGCCAAGTCTGCCAAGGTCCACGGCGGTTCAACAAGGTGGGGTCTCCAGGAAAGCATCTGCCCCCTCCCCAGTCTAAAGAGATAAGAGAAGGAACAGAGGCCAAGTGGGCCTCCTTGGCCCCCTAGTGGGTGAACCCCTTCTGTCTGGCCAAAGGTGGCACATAGCCAGGATATCGATAGACTGGTAACACAGAAAACAGACAGCGGCATCAATAGTATCGATCGTTCCTGAGCAGAGAGAAGGCCCCTGGAGACCACCCAATGGCCCTGACACCAAACACTCCTCGCTTTGGGGATCTTCCTGGTCTCCCTGCACCTGGCGTCTGCTCACGGCTCAACCCACAGCAGCAACCGTGGGGCAGTGGCAGCCTCTGGGCTCCTTGGAGTCAGGCCGAGGTCTCAGAATGCCCCAGTTTGGCCAAGTGCTTGCCCCTGTCGGTACAGTGGGCCCTCCCGAACCCTCCCCTTCCCACCCCAGGTAGGATTAACAGGAGTTGATGGGATCGTTTGTGGAGGTGAGTGCTTAGCGCTTTGTAAGCGGAGGCCTGCCCTCCTGCCAAGTCTCCAGGGCATCCTGAATGCTACTGATTTGCACTCATCAACTACATGACTCATCAAATGAGGGTGCAAGGAATACTTTCACTCAGGCTACAAATTGCCCTTGTGGGACTCTCGCCCACACGGGGACACGTGAGCACGGGCAGCTAGCGCCACCTTAATAGCATTTGTTTAGAGGGAGCTAGAAAGCTCCTGCAGAATGAATATGCCTCCGTAGGGGAGGGGCAGAGGGAACGATGCTACATCCGCAGGATCAGGCTCAAAGGTGATGAGCGACAATAACTGCTTTCTCTTTCTGCTGATCTGGAGAGACGGCCCTGGTGCGTTCGGTGGACAATGTCTGCAGAAAAGTGCGTGTGTGTGATTTTGTGCCGAAACACACCCGCTTTCTTTCCCCTGAGCTCCCATGCACTCTGCCCTGGGCCTCACAAGAGGCGTGGGATAACCCGCACCCGCAGCCAGCACTGCCACAAGCGGCCTGCGGAAGGGAGATGGGAGAGGGGAAAAGAGGCTTCAGCGTTTCTTCTGTGTATTTCTCTTCGTTTCTGAACTGTTTGCTTTTTCCTACACACGTGCCTCATTTTTTTTTTGTGGAATGGAATGAAGTCGTGGAAAACCCACGGGACCAGAGGAGGCCCAGTGAATGCGATGAGCAGATAAAGGCCACGCAGCCGTCCTACCGTTCGCTCTTCCGAAATGGAAAATGTGTTTCTGTTCTAGGTTCTCCACCCACGTGCAACCACCTCTGAAGGAGCTCATCAAGGCAACCTTGTCGCTGATCTCTGCCTCGAAGCTTGTCAACCTCAGGCCAAGGTCAAAACAGGAGTGTGTGTGTGTGTGTGTGTGTGTGTGTGTGCGGTCGTGTGCATGCAGTGTGTGTTTGGAGGGAGGAGGAGAGGGAAGTGTCATCTGTCAGATGCCTTCTGTGTGTCTGGCAGCATGTTAGTGTCTTTGCACGCCCACCCCAGCTTGCCGACTGCAGACGCCGCCTTGCAGGGCGGCGATCAGCCCCATGTTCTGAATGCGGAAACCAGGGTTTAAAGGGTTTGGGATCTGGGTGCACGTGCAGGCCATCGGACCCCACGGCCAAGGTCCCCCTGCCCCCGTTCTAGCAAATGTCTGCTTTTGAAGCAGTACAGGGGAGAAGGGTAGAAGCCCTGGGACAGCCGAGTCTGAGAGCCTCGCGCCTGCCAGGAGCTTTGCAAGAACTGTGGCTTGTGACCTCAGCCCTGCAAAGACCCAGGGACAGGGACCATTAGCATTCCCATTTAACAGATGCGGGAACTGAGCCTCAGGGGGATAACTAAACTGCAGAAGGAGAGGGACTCAGCAAAAAAAAAAGGCACTTGGACCCCCACAGTGTGACTCTGGAGCCCGCCCCATCGGCGGCCCCTGAGAGACACAGCAGTTCCTGGCAGCGGCAAGGCCACAGAATTCCCCACCCAGGTCAGTGCTATGCTAGGCGGGTGCCAGCCCTCGGGCGCTGTTCAAAAAAAACACACCCAGGAGCAGGGAGGCTGTGAGGCTCACCTGACTCTGCTTCTCCTCTGGCTTGCCTGACAGGTTTTTACTGAGGCTACCAGAGGTAACTGTGGCCTTCTCTGAGTCACCTCAGAGCATCTGGTTCCAGTGCTGTCTTGGACTCTCTGCTGCCAACGCCAGTCCCTTGCTTCCCAGGCCTTGGTGCACGGTCCCCCGGGGGGGCTTCACTGGGAGAAGACCACCCTCATCCATGGAAGGCAGGGTGTGCAGAACGCACCCATTCCCTCCCACTGGCCCATTGTTTTCATTTCTGCCAATCACCCAAAACACCATTTACTTCCTAGTGTCATTTCAATCATCTCACTGCTTAAAACTAAGGCACAAAGAAAAAACTACCAAAAAATAAGCCCATTTTAAGAGGAGATCTCTATCACCACTATAGATGGAGAACCAGCCTGGCTCACCACAAATAGAAGGTCCCAGTGAAATGAAGGGTCAGACACAGGACCCAGCCACTTACTGCCCCAAGACGCCCACCCGCCCTGCAGAAGCCCCCACCCTGCACTTGCTAAAAATGAGACAGTGAGAGTTGGGGAGGTGGCCCCGACCCACCTACATCCAGCGGACTGTCATCCTGACACATCTGGGGCCAGAGGACCCGTCTCCATGGGAATGGCAGTCCTGCCCCTCAGAGCACCCAGGGGCCCTCGGCCTGCTCCTGGGGACACTCTGAGAGCTTCCCCAGGGGAAGGTGCGTGAGGAGGGGATGTTGCCTTTCGGGGCAATGTTGGAACGAGGAGAGACAAACTCTGTATTCTTTCTGTCGTCTGGTTATCTTTTCAATACTGAGAAAGTAGCTATACAGTGTTTCGTAGCCATAGTAATGAAGACCTTCCCGGCACAGCCTGGCACCCCCAGTACAGTCCTGCCCCGAGCGCGGTGTCCTGTCCAGGCAACGGTGGGGACGAGCCTCGGTGGCAGCTTCTCCTGTGACGGGGCTGCCCTCACTGAACAGCATGAGCGTCCAGAGGCAGGGGACGGGCTTGGGTTCCAGCCCTCCCCGAGCTAGGGGGACAGTGCTGCATGTCCTATATATAGTTCCAACCCACGCTGGGGACTTGCCACTCAGGTGGTCTTTGGCAAGTGACTCCACCCCTCTGAGCTTTCCTGAGGGTGAGATAATCTACCTTAAAGAGTGGCTGCGGTGCTTAACCAGACCTGACCCGGGGACCCCTATTCTCCCACGTGACTTTGGTGACATGGCCGGCAAATGGGCTGGGCAAGCTGGGGCACCTCCCAGCCCCGCCCTGGACCTCAGTGCCCCCCACAGCAAACTCGGGACTGGCAAATCGGAGGCCCCCAGCTAGAGCCCCCCAGTCGAGCCCGGTTGGCAGACGTGGTTTTGTATCCCTCACAGTGTTTTCCGGTTAGCGGCCGGCCCTTAAACACCAGGGACTGCACACAGGAACCTCGGTTTTACGTATGTGTACACAGAGGCTGACGCCACTGGGCCCGCGTGGCGCACGGGCTGAGCGCGGGACAGGGGTGGTCCCCTGAGTCAGAACCACCTACCCACACGGGCTTCTTAGCCATTGAAGTCGGAACAGCTGTATTTTGAGATGAGGAGACTGAGGCACAAAGAGGTTAAAGAACTGGCCCTGTGTCATCCACAGATGGATGCGGGAGCTAGGACTCGAACCCACGCAGTCTGGTTCCATGTGTACTTATGTGAACTGGGCCAGGTGCTGGGGAGACAGGTGAGGCAGGGAGACACCCGGTGCTCTCTGACTCCACCCTTTGCTGGGGAAGCAAGCGTTTTAACGCTCCCCTGCTGATCTCAGGGGGCCGGAAGCTCACTGGAGGTGGACAAGTTGACCTTGGCAGCAGCCTTGGGCCTGGAGCTGGCCCTCGGGGCTCTGGGGTGCAGGGGAGCCGGCACTCGCTCTGGTTTGGCCCGGCAGAGGTGCCTCCGTGTGGCTCCAGCCCTCCTGTTTACCCTGCAAATAGCAGCTGCCCCACGCCACCAGGTAGAGGCCAGGGGGTGGCTGCCCGGGGCACTGGGCGGCTCGGGCCTGTCCGAGCTGTCCTGGGACCTGTGCCTACACGCGCCCGGAGCCCATTTGCCTTGGAATTAATGGCCCCCCCTACCCCCCCGCCATGTGCAGGCACGAGCCAGGGAGGCAGCTGAAGGGGAAGGCAGAGGGGCGGAGATGTGGGCAAGGTCAGGGAACTGCTGCTGGGTTCTGCCCGGCCCCGCTCCTGGGAGCCCTGTGACCTTGAGCCCCTGGGGCCTGGGCCTCAGTTTCCCCAGCAGTGGCTGCCCTTCAGAACTTCAGAGGTGCTGCTGGCGAGGCATCTGCCGTGGGCAGGACAGCGACATTGACCTTTCGCTGCAGAGTGAGGCACCGAAGGAAATCTTTGAAAACGTGTCACTGAAGCATAAAATACTTTCAGAATCGTGCACAAACGATAAACGTTTTCTGCAGTGAGGCTCCGCCCCCTGAACATACCTGTGTGATCAGCACCCAGATCAAGAAGCTGAATCTTCCTTGCACTCCAGAAAACGTCCCCGCCGGGCACTCGTCACCCTCAGTCTCCTGCCACCTCCTGTCAGTCCTCATCGGGGTGGCGGGGCACAGGAGATCCTTGTTCTACAAATGAAGGGACGAGGGCTCGGAGGGGTCCATCCCACAAGCTCGTGACTGAGCTCGGACTTGGAGGCAGGCCCTTTCCCTCCAGGGCCCGCCTGTGAGTGCCAACCGCCGTGCTGAAGACAGGGGTAGGCACGGGCTGAGGGACAGATGGGGCTTGTAACCTAATGTCCTCGTCTCCCAGGCACTTTCAGTCCTGGGAGGTGAAGGCGGGAGGCCGACCGCTCCTCCGAAGGTGTGAACGTCGTGTTATTTCTCCTCTGTCTTCCCCAGGCCACAGAGACAGAGGCCGTATCTCCTTGGTTTGCCATGTGAGAAGCCCCGCTTTGTGCCCGGTGCAGAGCAGGGGCTCAGTAAATACTTGTCAACGGTCTGATGAGTGAGCGTGGGAATAAATGGAAAGGCAAACAGAAAGGAGGGGGGCAGTGAATGAGAGTAGAAGGGGGGGCAGAAAGAGCAAGAGCGAGCTCCCTAAATTCTGGGTTTTTCTCCCCGGCCAGCCTCCCCTGCGTCTCTCCTCAGCAGACCAGAACCTTTGCTCTAGACTCCACTTTCCAAAACCTCTCCTCAGATCAGCCCAGGGCTCCCCGATTCCACGGTGACCACTTGGAAACACGGACGTGCAGCCTCGCCTCACCTGCAAGCGGGCACGGGCCGCAGAGGGGCCGAGGACTCAGGCTTCGCCCCACTGGTTCCTGGGACCCAGACCGCTCCCCCGAGCTACCGCTCACTGCCCTGCCCCCACCCTCTTCCTGCTCTTCCCTAATTGCATTCAGAGTGTCCACAACCCAGGCCTTTGCTCACGGTGCTTCTCCTGCCTGGAGGGACCTTCCCTCGGCCAACCCACCTGGCAGGAATGTCCACTCCCCGGATCCTTTGGGACTCTGCTCACGGGGCCCTGCTGGGTTTCTTTCCTGCCGTTCCCTCCCCTGAGGAAAGAAGCCTCGCTCCGGCATTTTCTTTCTCCAGTGCCTTCCACGCCGCTCCACAGTCCTTCCCACCTAGTGAGCCCTAGTGACCAGATGGCCCTGGCAGGGCCATCTACGGCACCTGTGTGGCATCTGCCCCGACGGGCACAGCGGAGCCTGCCACTCGCTCGGCTGCCATTACTCTGCAGCTGCCTTTCACACAGGACACGGACCGATGCGGCCGAGGGCGGCTCCGGCGGGGTCAGCGGCCCCAGCTGTGGCCGACCTTTCCCCTCCTCCTCACTCCAGGCCGTGCGCTTCATCCCTGTCTGTACCCCACTCGAGGGTCAGAGACAGAGGCATGAAGAAACCTGGCTGCCTGGAGTGTGCACAGCAGGCTGGGTCCTGTGCTGAGCACCTCATCTTTCATTTCCTTTGTCCCCATGATTCCCATTTCACAGATGAGGAAGTTGAAGCTCAGAGAGGTGGAGGGACTTGCCCAAGTTCACACAGGTGGGGGGGCAGGGGAGAAACTCAGTTCTCCTCACTCCAGACCTGCCCTCTTAGAAGCTACTCTTAAATCGCCCTGATTGAAAGGCTCCAGGGCTCCAATTCTACGGCCCGAGCTGGAGCCCGAATATGGATCCTGTTAGCATCTTCCTGGCTCAAGGCCAGGCTGGCAGCGACCCCCTTCCATCCCCCAGCCAGGCCTCAGTTGACCCCTGAGATTTAGGTCTGTCTCCTGGCTAGCTCCTGGGTCGGGGGGAGAGAGGGTCACTTCCTCCGGGCACCTTCGGGAGCACCTCTCTCCGGGCAGCTGAGCCCCACAGCTACTCCAAACCTCTGCACCGCCCGGGGCAGTCCTCAGAAAGCACAGGGACAATCAGACCCGATCTGGGAGTCGCCGGCGTGGAAAATCCAGGGGAACAAACCCTGTTGACTCTAGGCAGGTGCAGCTAGCTGTCCCTGTCCTCGGCCCCAAGTTCTGGCTGGCTGGCCCCTCCCTCGGGCAGGAGAAGGGGGGAGCGGGTGCTGTGTGGGCTACCGCGGTCATGCCCACGCCGGCCCCAGCAGCCCCTCTGCTGGCCCAAACCTGTTCCCCACCCTGGCGAGGGCACCCACTGGGCAGAGTGAGGTGGTGCCTGCCAAGTGCACCCAGTTTAGCTCTTTGGCGCGTTTTTTTCCAAACTGAAGGCCCTCGGGTGCCCCTGATCTCAAGGTCCAGGCTCTCGGGGAAGTGCCTCTTCCTCAGACTGATGCCTCTCAGACTCACCTCCAACAACCCGCTTCATCTTGTCCCTCTCACTGCCTAGCTCCGTTTGTGGGTCTGAAATGCCCTGAGAGGAAGGGCGCTCATCTTCCTCGTAGGTGGAGCCCTGCTGGAAGGCAGGAAGTGTGTTGGGCGGTCAGGGTGCATGGGGGTCTCTGCTGATGAGAGATACTTCTGGAGCCCCTGCTGTGGGCTCAGGCCGTCCTCACCAGCTCAGACTGCTGCCCATGCCTCACCCACAACCCATCCGTCCGTCTGTCCGTTCCCTGGTTTATCCAACTAGCATTTGCTGGGTGCAAGCTGTGTACCATACTGGGAACCGGGGGATGAGGTGTCCTGCCTGTGCAGAGTTTACCACGTGGTGGAAGAGAGATGGGTGCTGGCCATCACGAGGCAGCCGAGTGCCCCGATGGGGCGCACCCGTGCCCCACACCGGAGCTGACTGGGCTGTGTCGGCCCTTCCAGAGCACAGGGTGCTCTCAGGCATCGCCCAAGGCAGGGATGGGTCAAGTCTGTGTTTTCAGAAAATCGCCACGGACTTGAGGGTGTGAGGTTGGAGGAAGACGCGGGGGGGAGGTTGGCCACCTGAACCGAGGCAGCTGGGAAGGGTCTGGAGAACGGGGAGAGGGGAGCGGATGAGGGTGGATTTGAACACCATTTGGGAAGCGGTGCCAACAGGACTGGGTGAGAGATAAGACGGGGGTGGTGAGGAAGAGAGAGGGTCCAGGGCGACTCCATGTGTTGGGCGATTAGGGCGCTTTGGGGTCTGTGCTGATGAGCGAAGGAACGCTGAGAGCATGCGCTGACCCACCTGGTCAGCCACAAGTCAGCGACGTGGGGACCGTACTCAGACTTCTGGTCGAGGCATCCCTGCCCCCGGTGATGATGGCCTTGGGGTGCCGATGGGGAGGGGATCGCCACTGTCTCGACCCAGGGGACGTTTATCCATGTCTGGAGACATGTCAGGTTGTCACAACGTGGGGAGAGAGGTGACACGTGGCTGGCATTGGATGGGTGGAGGCGGAAATGCTGCCGAACATCCTAAAACGCACGGGCCAGAGCCCAAAGCGAAGACCCCCCAGCGCCCCGCCTGAGAGCAGCTGAGGAGTGAAGTCCAATCATGGTGGCCGTGGTATCGGACGTTCAGGTTCAAAACTCGGGCCTGCCACTTAGTACTTGTCTGCTCACAGGCAGGTTACTCAGGAGCTCTGAGCCTCATGTGAGAGGGGCGAATGCTGGTGCCTAGAGCACAGGAGATAGGCATTGAGTAAAAGGTGAGCTGCCTCCAAGCCTGTTTTCCAGTCGGCTGGAATGGCCACACCCTGGGAGTTAGAGGAAGCTGATCTTTGCCTCTAGCAGCTGCTCAGCTCTGGGCACTGAATATGATGCCTGAATTAGGCAAGGGGGTTATGCCCACCCTTGTCCTAACTGCAGAATGCTACGTACCACACAAAGTATTTTCCATGCATTAGCTCATGGCGCCCTCACAAAACTCTGCCAAGTGGGAACTCTGTTCCCATTCCACAGGGAGGAAGAGTGAGACTCAGAGAGGTCGTGTGCAAGCACTGGGGACACACAGGGAAGAAGAAGGCTTATCTGTGACCTCGAGGGCCTCCGTCTAGTTAGGGAGACAAGCAAACCCCTCCAACACAATAACATAAGAGAAAATGTAGTTTCTACTCTGCCTCACCTGACGCACACTCAACAAATGATTAATGAGCATCTACTATGGGCCAAGCGCTGTCTCAGCTGCCTGGGTTCCTGCCCCCGGGCAGCTCACAGTCTAGTGGGCAAGACCGATTACAAGATAACGCCAGCCGCGCATACCCACCCGTGGCCTTAGTACTTGGCATTTCCTCAGCCGCCTGGTTCTAACGTGCTTTGGTTCATTTAACCTTGAAATTTGTTGTGACAAGGTATGCCTGCTATCCTCGCTGTTCAGTTTGGGGAAGGAGGTTTTCAAAGATTAAGGAATTGGCCCAAAGTGTCACAGTTGGTTTTCTGGTAGAGCCAAGTGGTCTTTCTGACCCCGGAATTCAAGGTCTTTAACCACTGGGATGGATCCCCCCCCACTTCCTCATGCCAGATTCCTACCCCTGTCTTTCTGCCCCAGAAATCCCTCTGAACCTCACCCTCTGGCTGTGATCAGTTTGCTCGACATGTGGGAGAGAAGTGTTTTCCTGCTGGTTCTAAGCCAGCAGGATCCTGAGAGATGGGGGATCCCCAGAATGGGAGCCCAGATGAGCAGTTGATGGAGCAGGGCATCCTTGGGCACCCCCCTGGGTCCCCCAAGCCTGCTGGGGCCACGCTCACTCCTGAGACAGGACCTCAGTGCACAGAGGTGATCAGGAACGTACAGGTCCCTCCCCACCCCCCGTCCTGTGAGAGAGGCTGTGGGCACATGGGCATCGAAGGAAGAGGAAACCTGAAGTGACATCATGAGGAAGGGCGCTCCCTGCAGGAACCCGGGGAGGTGTGTATTCGCCTCCCCAAGTTTGCTTTCCAGATTCCCCCCCCCCCGTTAAACCCTGCCCCAGGGCTCCAAGGACAACCCCCCCCCCCCCCCACTTCACCAGCACAAGCCAGCACGCCCCGCACACTGAGGTTCGAGCCTTTTCCAGTTCCCTTCGTTTCACAACTGTCCGCTGAGCATCTCCAAGATGCCCGGCTCTGGTGTGTGAAAGTCGCGGTGCAAACAGAAGGCTTAATTATTAAGGCTGAGCCCAGCAGGTTCGGCTCCTGCCCTCGAGGGGCACCTAGAATGGAGGCCTTTGGCAGGCCTGCGTTACGGCTGGGGGTGTGGGCTTGGCCTCCAGCAACAGACAACCTCTAACTAGGATGTGGAATGTTCTGGAATGAGAGTGTCAAGCAGCCTCCACATTCATCTGGTGGTGGGGGGGCAGTCCCCAGAAGCTCCTCTCAGAGGTAGTAGCTACTCACCAGATAGGATTTTCACTAGTAGACTTGGAGAAATCCTTTTGGTGGAGGAAAAAAAACACCAAACTTCTCAGGCAGTTATGAGGATGAGCTGGCAAACGTGTGCCTTTCTAGGCTCCATGTGGGCTCCGCAAATCACATGTAAATAACACGGCACAGGTTTGGGAGCTGAAGCCCAGAGAAGGGCAGAGCGCATCCCACAGCCAGGAAGTCCTGGCTCTGCCACTCTCAGTGGGGAAAGTGATGACTTCTCACACCTTGCTTTTCTCGTGTGCCAAGTGGCGTGGTGACCCCCACACCGCAGCTGCCGGGGACGTAGGTGCTCCCAAAGACCCGGTCTGTAGGTGCCCTTAGTAGATTTCAGTTCTCCCTCATGCCTGGCTGCCAGGGGTTTGGGAAGGGCTTGCTCTGTCCCTGCAATTTAGCCCCCTCAGTCTTCAGATTATCCATTTATTCCTGCTCTTCTGGGGCATCTGGGATAGCTGAATCCTGGATCCAGCTGGACCTGAAAGCACCTCCTGATTGTAGGAGCCAGTCGTTTTCTGGCTTGCCTTTTTCTTTATTTTTTTCCCCTAAAGTTAGTTGGCCCGGGTTATCCATCACTTGTAACTAAGAATTCTGAGAACTGGGGGCAGGGCAATGGGGGAGTCAGGCAGGCTGGGAAGAGGGATTTAGGGCAAGAGAGAGGCAGAAACTATCGGGGAGGAGAGCGGCCTGAAGGCCCCAGAGGCTGGAGTCAGGAGTATTGGGAGGGTGAGCAACAGCTCCTAGTGTTGACAGCAAATGGGAGACCATGGACCTGCCTCCCCTAGACCTCAGTGGGGAGGGGAGGGTTGATAGAATTCTCCCTCCAACCCCTCTGGTTTATTAAACAGGGGTGAGGAGGGATGGGTGGGGAATGGGGAGGCGTGTGGGTGGTGGGGTGGTGTCACAACCCTCAGGTTTTTAGCCCCTCTGCCCTGTGAACTTGGCTTCACTCAGCAACAGGTTTCCCTTTGCCCCTTGCATCCCAGAAGACCCTGTTTTGAGCTCTTCCCCGCTCCCCACCCCCATCCCACTGATATGCAAAGACCTAGACCTATGTGGGGGCCAGGGGACCAGGATTTTATCGAACTTCCTGAGGTGACTCTCAGATTTTCCAGGTTTGGGACCTGCAGGCCTAACTCAAAACTCTACCTTAGGGACCAGAGGCTGAGGGCGGGGAAGGAAAGAGACTTCCTCCTCATCGGGTAGCTCATCAGGGGCAGAGCGCAGGACGCAGGCCTGCCGGGCACACGGCCTGCCGTCCCGGCAACACCTGGCATGCTGGCGGCCGGAGGAAAAGAACCCAGGACCCTGCTCATCGGCAGACCGGTCTAGAGCCAGCCCTCTGTGCCACACCATGGTACAGTCCGTGTCCGAACTGAGAGTCCCCTGGCTCTGAGTCCTACCCCACAGCTGCAGGGTCTCGTGATGGCCAGAGAGTGGTGGTCACCTTTGTCCCCTCCTCCTTTCCAGGTTCTCCGGAAGCCTGACCTCCAAACAGGACATGAGTGACCGTGTCCTAATTTCTTCTTGCTCCTCGCCCTGGGGGTGGCAGAAGACGGAATCCATCTCAGGCCTGCCCCACACGGCTACTACGCTCAGAATCTCTGTTTTCACTCGGCGGGGATGATTCTGCACACCCCGAGGCTGGAGATGCCCCTCACGCAAACCCTGGGCATTTCACCGCAGCATGAAATAAGCCACAAATGGTTCTGCAGCAATGCAAATTGGCCTCGTTTATGTATTTGGCTGGGCTGTGAAATACTGGGTGTCCAGTGCATTTTTGCAAATCAGGTCTTGTTGGAAATCCACCACGGGAATTAGCCAGTGAAAACGAGACAGCCCGAGCAGCAAGAATGATAAGCAGGGAAGCCTGGCTTTATGCTGTGGGAGCCCGGTGGTTTCCCTTAGGAAGTTCGTTTTTATCATTTGCCGTGCAGTTAACCTGAAGCATGGCTGCCCATCCAGCATGCTGGCGGCGCCTGCTAGGAGTTCACACTTAGGGAACTGTGGGTTGTGTGAGGAGGCTGTGCCGGGCAGGTTATACACTTGGCCTTAAAGGCATCTTCACTGCAACCTCTGAGGGGCTGTTATTTCTCTTCCCATGTAGTGAAATGAGTGCATGAAGGCAAGTACGGGTAAGGTCGCTCTGGCCTGTGCATTGCATCTCGCCTTTCTCTTGCGTTTTGTGACCTTTTACCTACTGTCTCCCACAGCCCCTCCTCCTCCCCCTCCTTCCAACTCTGTTTTCTTTGATTCTGTAGGTCCACTTGGCGCCAGTTCAGCAAATGCCAAGTATGTTTATGGCCACATTCTGTTGTGGACATGGACAAAGATTAAAGAGAGTTTATTTGTTGTGGTGGAATCCAAGGCCTTGTTGTTGAGGCTTAAATTTTGTCAATGTTGCAACATATGTTGTATTTTGAATCAAAGCCGGTCCCTTTCTTCTCTTCCCTTCTTCTCTTCCATCTTTCTTTTCTTCTTTTCTTCTTCTGTCATAGCAGCAAAGCCAAAAAGCCTGCTCTGAAAAGTGCTGATAATCTGCCTGTAGGCAAAAGGCAAATCAAATAGTTCTTCTGAGCCTGGGGCTACTTCAGCAAGAGTTAGGTTCTGGTAGTTTCTCAGCCACAAAAATGAGAGCAGTTGTCTTGGAGGAAGAGATTGGCCTGAGAGTAGGAATCTGGGGTGCACAGAAGTCACAGGTGAGACCCCCCCCCCTCACCCCAGGGGGCTAGAAAGTCCAGGACGACTCAGGGGTTAGGAGGCATCACTGGGGCGTCGTCCAAGTGGGTAACGTGCCTGACTAAGCAAACCTGGGAGTGAACACGTGTGTCTCTGCAAGGAGCAATTCTCATTCAGGGGTTCTGCACGCCCGCCCCTGTCATTTCCAGATCCTCCAGATCTTAAGGGATCTTTTTGGATGGAAGCAGGATGTGTGCATTGTTCTGCGAAATTCCTCCATTTCTGAATGATGGTGGTTCATTCAAGATATGGGAAGGACCACGTGCATGGGTGAAATGCAGCCTGGGGGTCGCCATGATGGCTTCTCCGGCCTCCTTCTGAGGACTGGGAGGGTGTTCTGAGTCATGCAGGAGAGAGAAATGAGGGCTCTTGAAGATGACAATGGTCCCCGTAATTGAAGAGCTCTCGAACTAAGGCAAGTGTTGCCTTTCCCTTCCCTTAAACTTATATTCAAAGACTTTGGTTGAAACACACGGAGCAACCCCAAGTACCCCCAAGTGATACCTTGCAAATTCAGGCTACAAACTGGGCTTCGATCTAGCTGTAAAATGAGAGAACCTGGGAGGCAGGGGCAAGTCAGGTGTAAGTCCACAGGCTTGGGCTGAAGCCAGAGAGGAAGGGGCGTACTCCGAGGATTTTTCTCTCAAACCAAAGCAGAGAGGGGTGAGAAATCGCAACCAGAAGCAGGACAGTTTCTGGAACGTGCTGAATAATGGAGCCTATCAAAACAATCTGGAAATTAAGAGGCAAGCGAGGCAAGGAGGGGCTAACATGTTCTCTAATTCAGCCGAAACAATTCCTGCAAAGGCATCCGGTCAACATCTCATGGCTCTTGGGGGACCTGGGGCCCCCACAGGTAATGTCCTGTGCCCAGGGTGTGTGCAGATTGTTGGGGCTGGGCAAATCTCAGCCCCCCCTCCACCACCTACCTTTCCAGCTGCTGTTGTGCAGGGCAGGATGGGAACCTCTCAGAGCTTCATTGATAAAACGGGAAATGCACTCCCTGGTGAGGTGGCTGTCGTGAGAACAGAGAGAGTGGAATGTGACAGCCTTTAATAGCGGGACACGTGCCCCGTGGCGGGCCCGGCTCACCTTACTTAGCCTCACTACTTCCACGCTCCCGCCAACGTCATTGTTGACAGGGCGCATGTAAGCCCCCGGTGAGTGCAGTGGGGCCGCTTCCACCACTGTTCTCATTCTGATCACAGCAGACGTGCACATCTCATTCCGGGTGGGAGGTGACATCCCCGAATCCTCTGGGTGACACCCCGGGAGACCTTCCCTGGCCACACAAGAAGCCTAACCACTCCTGCCCTCCGAGAGTCAGCCTGGAACACACACACCGGCTTCCCTGGGCTCGTGCCCGAACCCTTGAACGTAGTAAACAGTGTGAAATGAAGATGGATGGCCTTTTTTTGTAAGTAGATTTGAAGAGTTTTTCTTCTACACCCATTATTACCTCTGATGTAATGCTCGCCCAGGACTGACGCCTACTACGTATGTTTTGCAGAAAAGAAGTGTGTTGTTTTCCCTCCCGGTAGCAAAAGCAATTTATGCCTGCTATGGTCGGCTCGGAACCCGTAAGCAGGCTGGATGCCGTGTGCTGTGAAAGGCCGTGAATGAGGCTGAGTGGTCTTTGGAAAGGAAAATTGCAAACCCCACTTGGAAACTGCAGGGACAGAGGGTGGCTACTTTCTTGGCCGAACCCCCGTGGGCCCCCCACCTCAGGCTTCCCTGGGCCCGGCACAGGGCCTGGCGGGGGGCAGATGCTCGGGAAAGCTGTGAGCTTGCTGCTGGCAATGTCCTGTGCCCAGGGTGTGTGCAGATTGTCGGGGCTGGGCAGGGGCGCTTCTGGCTGTCAGAACGGGTCATGGCAAGTCACGGGCACGGGCTAAGAATGGTTGAGAGGGACAGTCCCAACAGAGGGCCGTGCACACTCAGTGCCGGGAACCACAGTTCTAGGTGCACTGTGGGGGGGGGCGTGGAGTGAGCTCATGGTGGTAGCCCTCTGGACAGCCAAGTTATGAAAGCTTTAGAATTATGTATCGTTTCATGTGCCTTTTCAGATCTGCAGTTTAATTATTTTCCTCCAAAGAACTTATGTGATATACAAGGTCTGTCTGGATAAAGTCCAGCCACTGTTAATATAACGAGAACGGTTTGCATGGCATTGATGTAACCTGGCAGCTGAGTGGACTGGAATGCGCATGTGTGAACAATAATGCCTTCGCTATACAAGTCAGTGGAGGTGGGAGACAGCGCTAAGTGAGCGTGTGTGCTGTGTGGCCGTCTCATTCAAAATGACTGAGTGGGTGGAGAAACGAATCTGCATCAGATATTGCATTAAAGCTTGAACATTCCTCTGGAAACTATTCAGATGATTCAGAAGGCCGCAGCTATGGGCAGCTGGTGATTGGCAGCTTCATCATGACAATGCACCTGCTCATGCATCACGTCTCATGCAGAGATTTTTGGTGAAACATCAACTCGCCCAGGTGATCCAGCCTCCGCTACAGCCCAGATTTGGCACCCTGCGACTTCTGGCTTTTCCCCAAACTAAAACCACCTTTGAAAAGGAAGATATTCCAGCCCTGGCTGGTGTAGCTCAGTGAATTGAGCAGGGGCCTGTGAACCAAAGAATCACAGTTCGATTCCCAGTCAAGGCACAGGCCTGGCTTGCAGGCCAGTTCCCAGCAGGGGATGCACACGAGAGGCAACCACACATTGATATTTCTCTCCCTCTCTCCTTCCCTTCCCTCTAAAGATAAATAGATAAAATTAAAAGAAAAGGAAGAGATTTCAGACCATTGATGAGATTCGGAAAAATACAACAGGGCAGCTGATGGTGACTGGGAGAACTGTGTGAGGTCCCAAGGTGCCTACTGTGAAGGGGACTGAGGTGTCATTGTCCTGTGTGCAATGTTTCTTGTATCTTCTTCAATAAATGTCTCTATTTTTCATATTCCCTGGTTGGATCCCTTCTGGACAGACCTTGTATACGATGTGATCCATTGCAAAACGAATGAATGTATTTCCTTTCCTATCGCTGCAAGGAAAATAGGTATTCCTTGCAGCTACAGAGTCCCAGGCTGGAGGATGGAGCGGCTGATGCAGCGCTCCGCAAGTCAAAGTAATGGATCACCCAGGGAACCCCCTTCCGGGGCCAGGGGTACCCTCACGCTGCTCCTCACTTGAGCTCCACTGAACCTGAGGGACAACAAGAGTCCTTTACCTTCCGCCCAGGTCCGACCACAGGCAGGTGACTCCTTAGTCGTTAGTCTGGGGAGAGCCAGTGAAATGGAGAAGGCTGATTATCGGCCAGGGCCTGGCAGATACTATCAGTGCGGCCCTGACCCCCACCAGGGTCTCAGCCCTGACTCCTGTGTTTCTAGCCTGCTCCCCCAAGATTTCCCCAGACAGCCATCTGATAAGATGCGTTTAGGTATCTAATTTGCATGATCCGGACAATTTTCATGCAAAACATATGCAAATACTGAGGACAGGTTTCTGGGGACAGAGGTTGCAATGAAATGTTTCTCAACTTTTAACCAAATAACTCTATCGGCCTCAAGAAGAAGAGCTTTTGGTTTTGGCCTCTATTTACATCCAAAGGACAGCTGGATCCCGGTTCGAGCTTTCTCTCTCCTGGCTCCTTATCTCACATCTGAACAGGGGAAATGGGCTGTGGGGTCTTCTCTGAGGTCGCTGGGACCCTGGGTTCCTAGTGAGCTGGCCACGGAGTCCTTCTGAATTCTCCAGCTGGGCCTGGGTGAGCTGGAGCCTGGGCGGACTCCGGGCACGGTCCCAACCACCGGGCAGTGGTTGGAGCCAGCACTTGCCAGAAGTAGGCTTTTGGGAGCCCCCCGGGGCACCTGCCTGGCGTGTTTATACAGCGGTGGGGTCGGCCAGTTGAGGAGATAGTGCACCAAGAGGCAAGCGCTACACAAACCCTGATGATTAATTAATGCCCTGAAAACAGTGCCCCTGGAGGGGGTAACCTGATATCCTGCCAAGGGAAGGGCTGATCGCCAGGGAGGCTGAGCATTTCGCAGAGGCCTTTCCTCCTTCCTGGGCCAGGCCCGGCGGGCTCAGGCTACCACCTCCTCCATCCCAGACGGGACATCTTTCTGGGCCAGGGGCCTGGGCAGCGTCTGCTTCTTGGGCCCTCAACCTGGGCAGGGGCGACTGCCCTGAATTTCATGCTTTACTGTCACTGTCTGGAAATCCTCGATAGTTTTTGAATGAGGGCCCCCCATTTTTAGTTTGCCTTGGGCCCCACCAATGATGCAGCTGGGGCTGACTTCCAGCACGGGGCCCTGGGATGGCCAAGGGTAACTGCAGCTCCTTAGCTTGGCATTCAAAGCCCTTTGCAGTTCAGTTTCCTGACAACCTTTCCAAGCTCCCCACACACCACAGGTGCAGGGACCTACTGCCTTCACCTGAGGTTCTGCCACACCCCTTCCTACCTCTGCACTTTGTGCAGCCCCCCAACCTCTGCTGAAACACCCCCTCTCCTCCACTCCCTGTAGACTCCTACTGATTCAGCAAGGCCCTGCAGAAGGCCTGTTTTCCTCCTGAAGATTTCCTTGAAATCCTGCAGGCACAGTGTGTGGCTCTGGTCTCGCTGCTTGCAGAGTCCCTGAATACCATTGGAGCATTTAGCAGCTAGGAGCCTGAGGGTATATCTCTGTCTACCAACTGGCTTGGCAAGGCACTGGCCAATGGGGGCAGATGGAAGAGGAGAGGCACAGCCAGGGAGCAGGACCTCTGGAGGCCCAGTGCGTGGCCTGGGCTTAACCCTTCCCTTGCTGGGTGGTGGGAACCGGGGGACTTTTGGGTTCAGGACAGTGGTTATTTATGAGTCTTCAAGAAGGGTATCAACCCTCTAAAGAGGGGTCTGCAGACCCGGTGCACCAGAGAGCTCCCCACCTAAACACAGGTGTCCGCAGGGGGAGGGCATGATTCACCTCTCTGTCTGGGTGTGTCCAGGACCTGACCCTGAGAAGGACCATGGAAGGTCATGGGCAAAGGCAGGAGGGCACTCGGAACCTGGGTTCGGGCGTGCTTCTGGGGGTAGGGAGGGCAGTAAGGCAGCTGCTCTGAGATCTGGAGCCCCGTCTCTCCAGCTTCCCCCAAGGGACCCTCTACAGCCAAGGAGCCGGGCATATTGCAAAGTGTCCTGGTGGGGGGTGGGGGATGGGAAGGGCTGGGGGGAAACAAGAAAAAGGAGGCAGTCCGGGCCCCCTGTATCCACACAAGACACAGAAACACACACTCACCACCCCACCCCTCACCGACGTACACACACATGCCCAGGACACACACCCATCTATATACACCCCCACTCACACACACCACCCCCTCCCAAGGACGCCCACACCCCCTAAAGCCTGGATTGACCCACAGAAGCCAGCATGTGGCCAAGTCAGGCATCTCTGCTGGGTCGGGAGGGTGGTCGTGGGTGGGGGATGCAGGTGCCCTCCTGGGTGCAGGGAGGGTTTGGAGAGGCAGTGACAGGAAGGCAGAGGGCAGCCAGGAGGGGCTGGAGAAGAGGACGAGCCTTAGGAGGTCATGGAGAAGGAGGGCACAGACGAGAATGCGGCAGGAAGAGGGGTGTGGGGAGGGAGCAGGAGGAGGAGGAGGCCGGCCTCTGCAGGGAACCTTCCACACTCCAGGTATGCCCTAGGCACTGTGCAGACGTCATTCCTATTCTCAACACCCACCCCTGCCCCGGGTGAGGTGGGAAGGGTGATCTCATTCCACAGGCTCAGACGTCTGAACAGTGGCCGGCCCCGGGCCCCCTAGCTCGAGAGTGGAACCCACTCGTTGACCCAGGTCTGCTGGATCCCACCTCACATCCGCTGGGGCGTGAGCTGCGGAACTGGCCCTCCCTGCCCACACCACCTCTTCCTAAAGAACGCGGCTGGGCGGCTGCCCCTCCTCCCCGGCTAGGTGCTCAGGAACTCTAACTGGGGGAAAGGGCACTGGCCACAGGGTGGAGGATTGAGGATAGAGCTGTGTTTTTTCAGTCTTGACGCTTGTCACTTGGGACTGGATTATTCTTCCTTGCAGGAGGCTGTCCCATGTCTTGTAGGACGCTTAAAAAGGCTTCAAAACAAAGCATCTTTGGCCAGTACGGCCATCCCTTCCCCCATTACTACCATCTGTGAGAAACAAAAATGTCTCTAGACATTTTCAAATGTCCCCGGTGCAGGGAAAGGGAGGGGGCGGGGGGAGGGGACGATCCCAGCCTCCAGCTGAGAACCTCTGGGTTGCACAGATGGCTAGCTTGTGAGGGTCTGGCCCCTCCTGCACAGATTTGGGGAGCCGATGAGCCAGCCAGTCACAGGGGGACGGACCGCGTGAGCTCTGGAGGGCCTTGAGGGTGGCCCTGTGGGTCTGGGCGGCGCTGCCCTGCCCTCGGGCTTGAGTCACTGGACTCCCACAGAGACGCTTTGTCCAGCAGCTCCATTCCGCCTGCACTCCTGGCGTGGCCAGACCCAACGGCCAATTATAAAAATGAAAAATCCAGGCCTCAAATGAGTATTTGCCTTTGGTCCTTTGATTTTCCTGTAATAAGTGCCTGGCCACCAAAGAATCTGAGGAATGTGGCCTTGATAATGAATACAGGCACCTGACTGGCACAGGGGCCTCCGCACCTTGAGCAGCCCCTTCCCCTTTGGGCGGGGCACTTGCAGGAATCGGCCGTCCGCCCTCTCAGCCCTGGGCCCCGCCTCCCGAGGAAGGCATGGGTCCTACCAATGTCCCGCCTCCTATCAGGAAGAAGGAAACCAAACACAGCTCCACCTCCAAACGAACGTCTTGTGGTCGATTACCATTGGTGTGTGTTATGGGGTCGGGCGGTGGGGGGAGACACTGAGGCCAAGCCCCTTGCTCCAGGGCTCAGAGCTGGCCAGCGGAGTTGCTGGGATTTGAACTCAGGCAGCTGTTTCCAGAGCTGCTGCTCCAAAGAGCTGAGCCCCCTCCCCTGCACAGGGACCAGGTGTCTGGGCCCTTGTGGGGGCAGCGGGCAGCCTGGGTAGGAGAGCGCAGGGGCTGAGCGCCCTGGCCCCAGGAATCTCACCACCCTCTGTAAACAACAGTGGAAGGGTGGCTGGAGAAAAGAGACCGCTAACCCTAACCTTGACCCACCTTCCTCAGGGCTCCTCCTCAGACCCTAACTCTGATGTTTTACCCAAAAGAACATGCCTCCAGGTCAGGATGCCGGTCAATGGCATTTTCCCAGGAATCAGTGTCGGGAGGCCGTTGAGGCCCCGGCGTGGATCCCGAGGGGGTCGGGCTGCAGAGCCGCCTGCACCTGGAACTGGGGGTCTCCTTCCTGCTTATCTAGGGGTCCTCAGCTGTAAGCTGGTGGGAACACACCCGACATCACACGCCTGTGCCACTGAGTGAGACGGCGAATGTGAAGCCCGGGACACACACTGGAGATCCCTGTTTGGGCGGAGGATGTCGAGGTTACCTGAGCTCCTTGAGGTTCATTTGGCTCACCTGTAGAATCTGGGCGACGATACAGTCCCATCTCAGGGCCAAGGGCCCTTGGCATAATGCGCAGGGAGCCTCGGGTGCAAAGGCCCAGAGGTGGGAACCGGGTGGGCTGGCCCAGGATTCCAGGTCCTCGAGGCCGCTCAGACCAGGACATGGGGGTGTTCTCGAGAGTGGGGATACAGGCTGGGCTGGCTCCAGTTTCCAGGCTGAAATTCTCTCTTGGCTTCTAAAGTTCTGGGACCTGGTAAGAGAAGAGATGGGACAAAACTGAAAAGGCTGCTGAGTGCACCCCCTTGTCCTTAGCACCCCCAGGGCCCAGGGCTCGGTTCCCGAAGAAGTGCAGGGCGATGGAGCAAGGGACACAGCTTGCTGGGCCGGGAAGGGAGAGAATTCCAGGACCTGAGGCCCCGGGGGTCGGTACCTCCCCCCCCACCA